TGTTGTTTTTTAGCGTCAAAATGTCTAACATTTTAAAATTATGTTGTTTCATACATTGTTTTAAATAACTTATCATTTCTTTTTAAGTGTGGTTTGATCACAATTAGAAGGGTTTACAGTTATTCGAATTCGTCATATAAAATTAAAGCCCTATCTGGCTAGTTTCCAAAGATTCAAACCACTCATCAATTGTATTTTTAATGAGCAAGTTATGACCAATTTACTATTGACTGTTCATTGGAAACTAAGAAACAGGGGAAACTGAAATGTGTGTGATGATAAAATGAATGGTTCGGCAGCGAGTCTATAGTTGTCCAAATTCAGTGTATAATATATAAAATTAAAGATTTATCTGCCTAGTTTTCAAATATTCAAACCTCTTAACAATTGGATTTTTATTGAGCAAGTTATGACCCATTTATTACTGACTGGTTAGTGAAAATTGAGTAATAGGGGAAACCAAAATGTGTGTGATGATAAAATGAATGGTTCGGCATGGGGTCTACAATTATCCAAATTTGTTTTATATTATATAAATTTAAAGCCCTGTCTACTAGTTTCAAAAGATTCAAACCACTCATCAATTGAATTTTTATTGAGCAAGTTATGGCCCATTTACTACTAACTATTCAGTGGAACCAAGAAGCAGGGGAAAGTGAAATGTGTGTGATGATAAAATGAATGGTTAGGAAATGGGTATGCAGTTATCCAAATTCAACATATAATATATCAAATTAAAGCATTGTCTGTATAATTTCCAAAGTTTCAAACCGCTTATCAATTGGAGTTTTATTGAGCAAGTTATAACCAATTTACTACTGACTGTTTAATGGAAACTGAAAAATAGGGGAAACCGAAATGTGTGTGATGATAAAATGAATGGTTAGGAAATGGGTCTAAAATTATCCAAATTCAACATATAATATATCAAATCAAAACGTTGTCTGTCTAGTTTCCAAAGATTAAACCATTCATCAATTGGACTTTTATTGAGCAAGTTATGGCTAATTTACTACTGACTGTTCAGTGGAAACCGAGAAACCGGGAAAACAGAAATGTGTGTGATGATAAATGGAAGGTTAGGAAATGGTCTATAGTAATCCAAATTTAGCATATAATAAATCAAATTGAAGCCTTGTCTGTCTAGTTTTTAAAGATTTAAACCACTAATCAACTGGAGTTTTATTGAACAAGTTATGGCTAATTTACTATTGACTGTTTAGTGGAAATTGAGAAACAGGGAGAACTGAAATATGTGTGATGATAAAATGAATGGTTCGGTAATGGGTTTATAGTTATCCAAATTCAGTATATAATATATCAAATTAAAGCCCCGTCTGTCTAGTTTTCAAAGATTCAAACAACTTGTCAATTGAATCTTTATTGAGCAAGTTATGGTCAGTTTACTACTGATTATTCAATGGAAACTGAGAAACAGGGGAAACCAAAATGTGTGATGATAAATTTAATGGTTCAGTAGTGGATCTACAGTTATCCAAATTCAACATATAATATATTAAATTAAAGCTCTGTCTGCGTAGTTTCCAAAGATTCAAACCGTTTGTCAATTGGATTTTTATTTAGCAAGTTTTGACCAATTTACTATTGACTGTTACAATACTATATTACAATGAATAGTCTTTCAACATCTGGTCTCTTATAATTCTATAGTACAATCTAAATAGATTTGCATCTTTCCTCTTACAATTAAACAATATGGTTCGGCTAGTGGCTACAATTCTATAGTACAATTATAAACAACTTGGTGATCAAAATGGTTTGGCACAGGCATCAGAAAACAACACCAAAACCATTAATCCACATAATTCGACCCATAGATTTTTTAAGTACAGTAGTAGACAAATAAATTGTTCGGAATGATCCATCTATGTCTTCTTATAACATCTTATAATTGAATAACAAAATTATTGGTTCGGCAAATGGATTTGACAATTCTATAGCAAAATTTACTGTTCACCATCTGGACTAAAACAATCAAATAGTGAAAACCATACATTAACTTACATAACCTTTTAACAAAAACTATATAGCAAACATGATAAGCAATTGAAAAAGAGTATAACAATACAGAGGCGTAGTCAAATAAATACATTACCTTCAATAGCATGTAATTTGCAATGCTGACAACAAATATTATGCTTTGACTAAAAGTATATATCTACATCAAATCAGAATAAAAAGTTTAACAATACACTGGCAAAACCAAAAGAAAACAATTACAAATTGTTAGAGTAGGTGCACTAGAGCCAACATTTTGACTCTTGTAAAAATATTCTTTGTATAAATAAAAGGCATTGCTTATATATTATAGCATCTATTTACTGCATGTAAAGAAAATAGTATATGTCCTTAGAAAGGTTGAAACTAGTGACGAGGGAATTAAGTATTATAAATCTTAATTGTAAGAACCCTATGAGCACAGATGGTGACCATTTTAAAACCATCCATAGTCATAGTATAAATCTGACCAAGGACACAAATTATACGGAGAGACTATCATAGCGTTGAATAACCCTATCGAAAGGTAGTGACAGATCTCACATGTCAAGGTTGTGGGCATCAATCTAGTGCAATGCATGGGTGCTTGCTTGTGCAAGTCGACTGGACTAACCTATCAGTGGATTCCATACAAGATAGTAAACCCAATGTTTATGGAATACATCTTCTTATAGATGGTGGTGCATGTGGTCCTTCGATTGGAGATCACCAGAGCGCTGTGTGTAAGTATCAATGTGATTTGACACTAGCCTAACATCGTCTCTTTTAGGGATTACCAGAATGATGGTGATTGGTTACATTGAGAAGTACACTATGGCTATGGTGGATCAACAAAGGATTCATCACTCCTGGTTACAAGAGATCTTATCTCAGCAAGATATTTGGCTAAGAACTACGACCTCAAAATTGTGGCCACGGTGGAATCGAGTTGGTACTCAAATCCAATTTTATATAGTTGTAGATTTGACAACCAAATATAAACATGTCAAGTTCAATATCTGAAGCAGACATTATTTCTTACTTCAAACCTTGATGAGATATAAGATGATGAAATGAATCGAATTGCATGGTAACCATACTGTAGAAAAGGTAAGCCTAAATCATTGATTCTTTATTTACTGGGGAATCATGATGCCTTGCTAGCTAGAGGCCAATCTTGATTGGTTTACAAAAACACTAATTGGTTGATGCTTAATTAGTTATTGGGACACTACCGGCAAAATGAAGAGCCTTCGGGTCACACATATAGAAAGTAGTTAAGTGAGAATCGGAAATGGAAGGATAATTTTGTCCTTGGGTTGAAAAGGGTATTTCGATAATTTGGGAGTCTAGGGGCATTTTCGTTGTTTTGGCGAAAAGGACACTTTGGTAATTTTGCTAGGGTTGATGCCATTATCCAATATTTATATTAAAGGAATTTTAGCAAAATTGTATTCATATTAATTTTAATTAATATGAAGGAATATATTTAATTTAAATTAAATATATTAAAACCCCTTTATTAAATATGAAAAATATATATAAATATATATGGATTAAATAAATAGTAGTATTTATTTAATTAGAATATGTATTTATATAAGAAGGATTCATATTTAAGGAGAATATCTTTAAGAGATATTCTAATTCCTTTTATTAAGGATTGAAATCCAATCCATATAGGAATTAAATGATTCACAATCCTAATTGAATTCGGTATTGCACTATATAAAGGGGGTCATTGGGTTTTGATTTAAAAAACAATTGAAACATGATTTTCATAAGTTGTTTTTGCAAAGTTAAGAGCAAAGATAACTCTCTCAAATAAACCTTAGCCGCCAACCTTAGAGAGAGATTTCTGCCACCTCCCTTAAGCACTTGGGTTTATCTAGCAATCAATCCAAGTGTGATCATGAATACCATCGTGCTCGACTCTATTTTGGGACGATAACAAAGTCGCAAAGACATCCAATGAAGGAGCTGCCGACGAGAGATAAAAACTAAACCTGGTATGGTTTAGTTATATGTACAAGGTTTAGTTATATGTAGGTTAAGAATATCGTATCTTGATCTTGGGTAAAGGGTAATGGCATAACAAGAAATTTTTTTGTTATTCCGCGCTTGCTATGACATTATTCCCTACACAAATAACAATTAAAAATTGATTACTTCTCTTTCTTTAGATAAATCATGTATCAAATTGTTAATATATCGACATATACAGTATATAGGATTCAAAGTAATGAATCCTTTACCTAATATAACGTATCTTTTTACATTCACTAAATTCAATAATATATCTTATCAATACATTAATATTCACATTTATTCATGCATATTAATTATAATGAATATTATTATTTGTGTACAATTTCACGTTCAGTTAATTATTAATACTAATATACCTGTACCCCTCACATTCAATTAGACAAAAACAATGAATCAAACTAAATTCATAAAAAACAGTGAAACATAATAATAAAAAATTTTGATTATAAAATGTATAATCATAAAACATTTAATATGAATGTGAAGAATTTATCTTGATTTAATGATAATAAAACATTTAATTTGAATGTGAAATGTTTCTATTTATCTAATTAAACACATCCACAAAACATTGAATGTATATGGTTATATAGATATCTATTATTATTAATAGAGTCCTATGTGGTATTCAAATAGCAAGTGTTTTAGGATTATATCAAAGAAAAATGTTATCCTTACAAAGACCCATACAAAGAGGGTTACAAAGTGACATCATCCAGAAGAAAAAAACAAAGAAAAAACGGAAAAAGAGAAAAAGAGAGAGAAAAATCATGAAAATCAAGGATGGGGATTGTCTTTGTATGTCCCCTTTGTATGTGTTTTTGTAAAACGAACATTGCTCTATATCAAAATATAGATATGTTTTAAAATTTTCTTACGAAGAATAATAAAGAAAATACAGAAGGTAACATAAATGAAACAATTGCAAATGTAAACACCTTTTAAAAGCCGTAACAATCCTTTAGAAAAGATAGGTTGAAAGAACAGAAACGGCAATACATTTTTTGAATTACATCCTTATGCTTACAAATTACTTTCATCAACCCAAAACATATCTAAGTTTCTAAGTTCTGATGTGGTAATTTTTTGAAAAGGTTTTCCCAATGGCTTCTCATCAAGGAATTCTTTAGACACACATTGCATTGTAGGCCGAGATTTTGGATTCAAACGCAAGCATGCAAACGCTATTGCAAAAACAAGCACAATATTCTGCACAACTTTTCCATCAATTGGAGGTGGGAGACGTGGGTCTAAAACATCTATCAGCATTATATTTGAATTCGATGGAGATGATAATGATGAAAGAAGATCTCCCGGATGCATTCCCATTAATACTTCTAGTGCTACAACCCCATAACTATAAACATCACATTTTTTCGTCACAATCATGGTATAAGCAAGTTCTGCAAGAAAAAAATATGTTTTAATACGATGACTAAGAGATTCCTTTTTCCAATAAGGAATTCATAACAATTTGTGATTGCATTAATTGTTTAGGGTGATTAAGCTCATGTTCAAATTATCATCAGTATATTAATTAGAATGGGAAAAAACATTGGTTGCATATAATCTGTGTAATTTACCTTTAATGGTTCAGGATCGATATATGGTAAGATATGATAAATTCAATTATGACACCTCTACAACAACTTATTTGTGAGATGTACATAATTTATCATGCTCATTAAAAATGAAGCTAATAAAGAAGTTTAAGGAAAAGTTTATCAGAGTAATCGCCTGGAGCAATATAGCCAATTGTGCCAGCCATTATCGTTCTATTGGATGAGTCAAAATTTAGAAGTCGAGCCAAACCAAAGTCAGCAACGAATGTCTCTAATTCCGAGTTCAATAAAATGTTGTTACTAGATATATCACGGTGAACAATCGGTGGAGTGCAGTCATGATGTAAGTGTGACAACGCATGCGCCACACTCTTGATAATGTTCACTCTCTTCTTCCAATCCAACTCAATAGCTTCTTCATCTTTGCGCAACACACAGAATAAACTTCCCCTCTCCATATACTCATAAATCAGAAACATGCATCTTCTATGCAAACAAAAACCATAAAGTTTCACAATGTTTCGATGTCGAATTTGAGATAGTAAATGAGACTCATTTTGGAAATTATTGAAGAAAGCTAACTCTGATCCGTGAAGCTTCTTCACAGCAACCACTTTGCCACCAGGTAACTCTGCTTTGTAAACGCTGCCATAACCTCCAGTCCCAACGCAATACTTGATGTCAAAGTCCTCAGTTGCTTTAATTATCTCCTCAAACACAATTATACCATCGTAATCCCATATTTTGAACACATCTCCACTCCTGGTTGTTCTTGTCGAGAGTTCAGCATTTTTATTCTTAAGCTTGCTAAATTTGATAAACATGTACCAATAAAGTAGCCAGATAATTAAGGCAACAGGCACAGAACATATCACAAAGAAAAAGGGGGAAAGCCCTTCCAAGAAATTGGTTCTAGGCGAAGCTGGAGGAGGGTTGGAGAAATCATGGTTATCATCATTAAAGTTCATGATAACTCAAATTAACCTAGTCTTCCCACAGGCCAGAGTTTTTTTTTTCTCACTTATAGCGAGCTTGGACCTTCATATCATCATATGTAGAATTAGAAACCCATTTCTTTCATTTTCCTTACGACGTGTCCTATGAAAACTCCATGAACATTAGAATTTGAATGGTCAAAGTCTTCTGGGCCTTGTTTCTGCGATGTTTCACAAGATCGATACGCGCTGGACATAGAAAAATTGTCCGGCGTAATCTTTGACGAAGCACAATGATTCAAGGTCTTCCCACTTATGGCCAATTTTCCAAATTATGGACCCAAAAAACGTGTTTGACTTTGAAGTCCCGATAGTTTTTTTTGAACCCTACGGGGCTAAATTAATATTAACATATTTGGTAATATATTTTGCTTATGAGTGGGAGCTTTTGTTACCCCACTAATGGACTAATGCTTAATTCAATTGACTTAAATTGTAGAATCAATTGAATTTAGCAATTTTGAAAATACTGTTTTTCCTTAATTTTTCTGCATTTTTGAAATCTAATTTTCTGCTAAATTTTTTGGCTTCAGTTTCATTATTTGATTACCTGGAGCATTTCTTAAACATGCTTGTTTTCACTAACTAATTGAATGCTTGACTCCCACAAATTTTCACCATAATCTTTGTCATTGGTCTTTCTTGTTTGACTTTAGTGATGACAAAACTACAACAGACGCTCCTTGGTAGACCTGGCAAAACAAACTGGCTGGGTGGGTATGGACCGAGTCATCATGAGTACGGGTCCAAAAACTCCTAGTTCTATACAGGTAATGAAATTTGGATTTGTACTCTATCCTATGCAGGTACGGGTTTTTTTTTTTTAAGTTAATTTTAATTTTGAATCTTTTCCAATCAACCAAAAATTAAATGATCCAAAAAGTAAAACATCATATTTCATAATAGACAAGACCAACATAATTTAGTCATCTATCAATAAAAAGTTAAATGATCCAAAAAGTAAAACTTCTACTAGAGGTTAGAGGCACAAGTATGTTACCAAATAACTAATTATAATAGAAGCTATAGAAAAATAAGTTCAATAATTTTAAAATTTAAAATTAATTAAATATTTAAAAAAAATTACGGGTACCTGCGGGTATACCCGATCCGCCAGCAAAAAAAAAGGGTTGGACCAGGTACGGGTAATTTACAAACGGGTCCTAAATTAGTAACCCATACCCCTTTTTATACAGGTACTCACAAGTATAAACCCATTTTGTCGGGTCTACATGGTGTAAACGAGCCGAGCCGAGCTTTGGGCTAATCGAGCTTGGGTTGGTTGCTATAGAGTCAAGTTCGAGTTCAAACTTGACACTAAAAATTCAAGTTTGAGCTCAAGCTTGAACTCACAAAAAAAACTAGGGTTTTAAAACCCGGCCCGGCCCAGTTGGTTTAATTGGTTCGACCGGGAACCGGTGGTCGGACTGGGTCAGTTCATGTTAAAAACCAGAAATAACAATTAAGTCAGTTTCACTCGCGGTTGAACTAGTTTTTTGCCAACGAACCACCAGTCTAACCGGTAAAACTCGGGTTGCTATAGTAAAAATATTGAAAAATAATAAAATTAAAACTTAAAATAACCCTTTTCAGCTTTCCTCTTCTTCCTTCCCCATTTTCATTCGACAAAACCAAACCAGCAGAGAAGAAAAATCAAAGAAACCCATTACCAAAAACGAAATCAGCTTTTCTCTTCTCCCTTCCCCAATTTTATTCAACAAAACCAACACCAACAGAGAAGAAAAATAAAAAAACCCATTACCAAAAACAAAATCAACTTCTACGATCTTGGGCTTCTTTGATTCAGATTTCAATCATCAAAATCTTCAACTAATCTTCAATCTTCGGGTCTTGGATGACTTCTAAATCTCTAATCTTCCAGATTCGGTTTTCATAGCTTCTTCTTCTTTGATCTTTGATCTTCGGCAGCTCCCTCAAGGTATGCGTATTTTGTTGTTGTTATCTTGGTATTTTTCTTGTTCAATGTAAGTTTGGTTTTTGTTTTGTTGTGAGATTGTTTAAGATAGAGTCATAGAGATTCTTTGGTTATTGATATTAAAGAAGTGGGTTTGAAACTTGATATTGAAAAGGTGATTGTTTGGTGTGAGATTGGTTGTGTTTGAAAATTGAAGTGTGTAAAAATGGTTGGTTTGATTGGTTGTGTGCAGTGTGAATTTTGACACTCTGTTTTTGCACACTATAGTGTGCAAATGCACACCCAGTTTTGCACACTGCAATGTGCAAAAACAATGTCAAAATGCACACTGTAGTGTACATTTTCACACTGCAGTTGCAATGCCATAGCTACTTTAGGATACTAAAACTTTCTTCCCATAGCGTACCATTATTGAGAAGCCTAGTCCCAAAATCTTGTCAATTAACAGTCTGTGTTGGTCAATGTTTAATTTATTATTGTTAGATGAAAGCTCATATCATGAAAGATTCTGATTCCTTAATTAAATGCTCTGCTTAGTGACTTAAAGCCAATATCAAAGGACTGGCAATTTTCTTTACACGTTTTGCCATGTTGAATGGGCTCCCTAAAATTACATTATTTAATTTAGTTTGTTAAATATTATATTAGATTAGTCAATTTAGTTTACAATTAAAACATTTAACTAATAATTTTATTTTTGTGTGCAATTTTTTGTAGATGTTGGTTATGCTGATGATGACAATGACGAGGATGATAAGTTGCATAAATTTAGTGTTTTTAGGTTTGTTTTTATAGTCTTCTAGTTAATTTCTCATTTGTTTTATGTGTTTTGATGTTAGTTTTTGTTAAGTTTGAAATATGAATGGTTAGCTATTGATTTGAAGAATTTTTGTAATTTTAAAGCATTAATTGAGTAGATTGGAGTATTGGAATGAAATTGGAATTCAAAGCTTGAAGAAATTGAGATTAGCTGACAAATTTAAAGGCCATGGCCTTGCCTTGGTGGTTCACCATGGCCGTGGTGGTGGAATGAAGATAAAATAACGAGGACAGGAAACACCATGGCCTAGGCTGTGGTGACGTACATTTGGACACGGCCAGGGTCGTGTCGGACACTTTTAGGGTTTTTATTAGTTTTTCTTTCATTTTTCACTTAGGATTCTTTTGGGTATTTAAGGGTGATTAAGATTACTTCTTAGGGAGGCCGAATTTTACCCATTCTTGGAGAGAGATTATTGGGTAACAAAAGAGAAAGGAGAATCAAGAACAAAATTCATCACAGAGTTTTTTTTTTACTTTTTCAATATGATTTATTTCTTGGATTCTACTCTTGTTTCTTTTATTATGAACTAATTTTCTCATGCTAAGACTGTGGTTAGTCTATTTATGGATCTGTTATCAATCTTTTACTCTTTGATCAGTGAATTATTTTTCTAATGATGAGTCTATATTATGTGCTTAATGCTATTAGGAACTTGATCAATTTCTGATAGAATTGTTTTGTGTGATTGAGACCGAGAGGAGATATCACATTAGTGCTCTAGTAATATAGGCCATGGATTAATTGGATATAGAGATATATGAATTGATACATGCAATAGTCATAGGCAGGATTAACTTGTGTTGAAAGCTAGAGGATTTCATAAAGCTTAATGCTCGTCTATTTCATTAAATCTAAATCAAGCTTAATATTGCTTGAGAAAGAATATTGGTTAACCTAGGAAATCACGTTGTCACATTAATTAAATAAATTCATTGACTATAGTAAATTGAGGGGTGCAGAGAAGTTATAGATGAGCCTGAAGTCTTAGCCGCTTTCTCTCATTTAATTCTTAATTTTAGTTTTACTGCAATTCGTTTCTAATATTCTAGATTTTAATATTTTTAGTTTTAAAGATCACCATTCTAAGTTTTGATTATCTAGATAAAGTTAAAACTAATTAATATTTCAGTACTTGTTTACGCAATCCCTTGGGTACGATAACCTGTATTTTGTTATACTATATTACTTGATACTAGTACACTTGCTAGTAGTTGTTGCAAACCGACACAACAGAGGACAACGACGAAGATTATCTTGATATAAGTAATTTTGCTTTTGGATCTAGTGCCCAAAGTCAGCCTTGACTTGAATTAAATGGAAATGTAATAGAAATGTAGGATGTTGGTTTCATTTTGATTATGTTGTTTTAATTTAATTTTAAACTACTTGTTACTTTATAGTTTATACTTTACAATTTGGTATGTTACGGACTTGTAGTTTTAAATTTTTAAGTTTTAATTTATTTTAGATTTGAATATATTTGTTAAGGGAATTTTTTATTATCACTGGCAAAAATAAAAATCTGCATTTTTTAAAAAAAATTTTTGCTGCTGACATCAACACGATGACGTCACGGCCAGTCGGACCGTTCAACCCGTAAAACCTGTGATCCGGTGGCTTGGCCAGGTTGCCCCCCGGGTTGGGTTTTAAAACCTTGAAAAACTCTTTAGTTCTCCACTTTTCCAATTGAGCTTTTCGAGCTAAAATCTGGCAACCTCAAACTTGGCTCGGCAGACACCTCTAAGTACGTCATTGGTCGGCTTGATGTTATTTAGAAAGTATGGTCAAAGCCCAAGAAAAATGGTGTAGTGATCCACAAAAAGGCCCGAGCCAATAGTGGACCTTAATTTGCAATCCATTGTAATCTAACAATTAAATACCAAAAGGCTACAAAGTACTAACATTCTCAAACTCCAAAAACCCATTTCTCTATTTGACAGAAATCTAATCCCCTCTATTTAGAAAAAAAAATCTAATCCTCTTTGACTAAGCTTCTTCACTCGACTCCGATTGGTTGATCCTGGGTTTGAGAGAGACAAAGAAACCAAGACGAAAATTTTGAACTTTTAAGTTTAATAAGTTAAGTACAAACTTAAATAATAATAATAAAAATACACTAAATCACAACCATGATACAAACCTTCAACAGAAACAGGTGGAGAGTTGTTGGATATATGGATTTGCGGTGGATTGGGGCTCAGTTCACGGAGTTTTTATGCGGCTTGAAGGGC